TTTTCCCTTTGTTTTAAAATCAAAATAACCCAAAGGGGGCCCAATAAGTCCAAGCCCAAAGATAAGAAATCTACCCCCCTCCTAAACAAGACCCACCACACGGGATCCGGTAAATATTAATTTAATTGGATTTTAGAGCCCGATAAATATAAATAAATTCAATTAACATTCACTTTGAAAATTAAATGAAAAATCTCCCGATTCGAGACTAACTAACCTGAGGAACTCGGGGCGTTACACACAGTCCAATCCATCAAATCACTGACGATAAGCATCTCATGCTTATCTCTAGTGGATGAACAGGCACGCCTCATAATTGATACCGATCGTCAGAAATCGGTTACGGCGGTGTTCTCAAACAAGAAGTTAACGGAAAAATCGCGATAATCCGTTATCATTCAGGCATCTGGAATAGCGCCCAACAAAACTATTCCACGGTGAAGAAAGAAATACTAGCAATAGTACTTTGCATTCAAAAATTCCAGGGAGATCTTATCAACAAGGATTTCACCATACGGACGGATTCAAAAGCAAGCAAATACATCTTTGAAAAGATGTAAAAAATCTGGTCTCAAAACAAATCTTTGCTAGGTCGCAGGTTATACCGTCTTGCTTTGATTTCCAAATTGTGCCTATAAAAGGAAGCGAGAATTCCCTTGCTGATTACCTCTCAAAAGAACATCTCTTGAAAACCCCCAAATCAGCTCTGATCTCTCTCCCTTCCAATGGAACCTCCTCCCGGCCGGAGACGGCCAAACACCCAGCGGCCTCCGCCTCAAAACAATCAGCGACCTCCGTCGCCGAGAAATGAATCAACCATTTCTCCTCAAACAGTAGCATCCTCCTCAAAAGCTGCTATCTCAAAGGACAAAAGGCTCATTACTTAATCATCTGTACCATCTCCGATGAGTGTAGAAAATTATGCCATGGATATCCAGTTTGAAACGGTATCCAGACGCCAGCAAGGTTCTGCACAGAGAGGCTTGACTATCCAAACAGGCCCTCCTAGCCTTCCCACTCCCTCAAGAACGTTGTTACGCCCCTTCGACAATACAACGAGAAACAGGCGCCCTGCTACGGCAGTCGC